CCACAGACAAAAAATAACTTTAAGAAATAGAATATTTATATTCTATTTCTAAATTATTCTAAATTATATAATCTAGATACATTAATAGATATAAATATTCATCTGTTATTTATTTTTGTGTAACAAATTATCCCACAGTGTATGTGTATACACACACACACACACACACATATAAATGAAACTTTGTAAATTAAATATGTGCTCAAAACTTGAATTGATTAACATAAAGAGATTTGGACTTAATTGTATGCAGATATGGTTGAAACTGACATCCAAAACTATCTCCTCCCACAAGTTATGAAAGCTGCTTCTTCAGAGCCCACAGCAATTGGCATTTTTCCCCTGGGTGTTCCCTCAGTAGCCTGATGTCCTTGGGCATCCTTTACCTCAGTCTCTACCAGAATGCTGAGACAAGATCTAGACATTCTCATTCCCTTATCCATATTTTAGCTACAGAGAGGATCTCCTTCGTTTAGAAGAAGAATTGAAATGTCAGTTTGCTCTTTTCTTGTTTCTAAAACAGCAATGGTCAAATTCTTTGTGCACAAAGGAAAAAGTGATTAAAAATGGCAATTTTTATCAACCATTTTATAATATAATGGACAATAAGTCTAGTGGGGAGAGGGCAAGAAAGACAGAAACACATGTCCTATGGCTCCATCTTTGTCAGGCACAGGCCAACCTTGATTGCACTGAGTTTTTAAAATTCAGATACTATCTGAGCTACCCACAGCCTTAAAGCTGTCATCCCTACAACACACACACACACACACACACACACACACACACACACACACACACACACACACCCCTCACCTAAGTCTAGGGACAACCACTTGAGATCAAAGTTAAATTACTACCCTGGAGTAGTATATGTTTCTTTCTCAGTCATGACATGATGGACAGTATCACTTCTGTGCCCTTGATCCTTTTTGTCACAATCTAGTATCCTATAAAGGTGTTCTAGAATCAGATAACCAATTTGTTAATTTTAAATCAGTTTCCCAGAAATAAATAATCTTTAAAAAGGAATGTTTTGTTGGCATAAGAACGGACATTCAAATGGATATGTGATAAGAAGGGTGAAATACGGAACTGTGAAAGCAGTGAGGCTGAAAATGACTATAGCCCATCACTTGATAGAAACGGCCTGGGATTTGGCAGGAAGGCTCAGGCAAGCTTAGAACTGAGGGAAAATAAATGAGGAAGACAGCCAACGAATAAGGCTGGCATCCACTGCCTGAGAGGTAGCTCTTGGTGGGAATAGGCAATGCCTGAAAGCAGTAATCTGA